CCTGGGCTCAAGCGAGTCTCCTGTCCCAGCCTCCCAAGTAGCTGGGACCACAGGCGCCTGCCACAACGCCTGGCTGTTTTTTGGTTGCAGCCATTATTGTTGTTTGGCGGGCCCTAGTTGGATTCAAACCCGCCACCTTAGGTGTATGTGGCTGGCGCCTTAGCCGCTTGAGCCACAGGCGCCGAGCCTCCTTTTTTTTTATTAAGTCATATATACAAAGATCATGAATACATTTATGCCTTTGTGGGATTCAATGTGTTGATTATTTGCAGGAATTGGAGTGATTACATCCAACTAATTAACATAGCTTTCACCTCATTTACTTAATCACAGTGTTAAGACATTTGTGTTCTGGGGTGGTGCCTGTGGCTCAAAGGAGAAGGGCACAGGCCCCATATACTGGAGGTGCTGGGTTCAAACCCAGCCCCAGCCAAAAAAAAAAAAATCAAAAAAAAAAAAGACATTTGTATTCTACATTTAGTAAATTTCACATGTACCCTTGTAAGATACACTGTAGGTGTGGTCCCACCAACCACCCTCCCTCCACCCACCCTCCCTCTCTCCTCCCCTCCTTCTCCCCTTTCCCCTTAGCTATAAATTGGTTTCATAGTAGGGCTGAGTACATTGGATACTTTTTCTTCCATTCTTGAGGTACTTTGCTAAGAAGAATATATTCTAGCTCCCTCCATGTAAATATGAAAGAGTAAAGTCTCCATCTTTTTTTAAGGCTTCATAATATTCCATGGTGTACCTATACCACAATTTATTAATCCAGTAGGACTTTCTATGATGAAATTATCTATATCTGTGCTCGTTCAGTAGGCACTAGTGTTCTGTGGCTTGAAATGTGGCTACTGTGTCTGAGGAACTGAATTTTTTTTTTTTGGAGACAAGAGTCCCATTATGTTGCGCTCAGTAGAGTGCTGTGACATTACAACTCACAGCAATCTCCAACTCTTGGGCTTAAATGACTCTTGCTTCAGCCTCCCAAATAGCTGGGACTACAGGCGCCCACTACAACGCCTGGCTATTTTTTTGTTGCAGTTGTCGTCGTTTACCAGGCCTGGGAAATAAACAGATTCCTTCTAAATCTGATCGAATACCATGAGGCAAGGGCCTGTAAAATACATGAGAAGGAACCAAGAAGGAAAATTCTTGGGCTCAAACTACTCTCCTGCCTCAGCTTCCCAAGTAGCTGCGATACAGGTGCCTGCCACAACGCCTGGCTATTTTTTTGTTGCACTTAGCGTTGTTTAGCTGGGCTGGGCTGGGTTCAGACCTGCCAGCCTTGGTGAGTATGGCTGGCGCCATAATCACTGTGCAATGAGTGCCAAGCCACAGCTGAATTTTTTATTTCAATTAGTTTAACTAGGCATTGGTGGCTGGTTACTATATTAGACAGGGTAGCTCCAGATAGTAAGGAAAGCAAATAGAGTAAGATTAATGTTTAGGAAACATAAGTAATTGTGGTTTTAGATTTTTAGGTCATCCTTCAAAGGCACCATACCATT